ACTAACTAAAGTGAATACGATAGGAACCGACAAAATTATACTCGTCCTTCATCTCTAGACGAGGCTGACAAGTTGTCTGGTTGGTACTGTCAGGTTTCTGAAAAGTGCCCTCTGGTAATTAATCAATTAAGCAGGGAAAAAGTTACCCAAAACGATAAAAAAATTAAAAGTGCAAAGGTAAAAACAAATCAAAGTAGAGTAAAAATATAAAGTTAGACAAGATCGTTAGGGGGAGTTAGTTCGGCTCCCATAAGGTCAATAAAAGTACTATTTTTCTGAAACTTTGGCCCCTCCTCAGAGACAACTATACCTATTTCCAGGCCTTAATTTAACAGCTCCATTGCCAATTTAACCCCCAACACAACATTTGAAACAGATCATTTTTACCCCCATACCTTTTAAAGTTTTCACTTTTAACCCTTTACTTTATGGAGGTTGTTCTTCCAATCAACTGTCAACTTGTTTGTAATGTCTGTCCGTATACAATTAAGGGAAAGAGATGAAAAGAAGGATGGAATGGACCATGTGTTTTTCCCCTATCCCGTAAGGTCGGATTGGGTTGAATTTTTTATTTATCCGAACTTGATTTGAGTATAATATTCATCTACTCATTATTTGGGTTGACCAAGATTTAAAAAAACTTTAACGACTTAAAACTTGATTAGGGTCAAAACTTACACCCGACTCAATCTAATATATTTACGTATTTTTATATATGTATTAAGTAAAATAAAAAAACTAATTAAAAAATATAGAGGCGAATATTATAACAATTACACATAAGTATATAAAGGTCATTTATTTTATTATTTTTAGATAGCGTTGGATTTTTTTACCTTAAATCCATATTTGACCTTATCCTCTAAGAAATCCTATTGACTAGTGATGAATGGAGGGATGGGGCTTTCACCTCTCCTAGAAAATTAAAGTTATCATATATTTTAAAAAAATTTATATATTTTCTATTGAAATTTTATTTTTCGTTTTCTAAAATTTTATAAGTTTAAAATTGTCTCCTAACATAAAATTGTCCCAACTACCAACCCATTTTAGACTTTTAAGAAAGGGTAAATTATAAATTTCATCACTAAAATTTACTCTCTCCTATTTTGCTCATTGAACTTTAAAAGTTTCAATTTCCTTATTGAATTTAATACATTGGGTTTTTTTGGTCACTCTATCGTTAAATAGTTAACAACGTTAAAACGACGCAGTTTAAGAAAACAATTTTTTACCCAAAACGATATCGTTTTATATCTATATAAAAACCCATTTATAACACCGTTAGTAAAAAACTGTTGAGTGAATGAAAAAAAAAAGTCCCAATGCATTACTCACTTAGGACCATGTATATTACTTAGGATGTTAAAAGTTGCAGGCATATTTGGATGTTGGTCCACACGTAATCCAGAAACAAAAAGAGAGACTTGAATGCTACTATAAGACTACTGTTTGCATCCAAAATAAAAAGGTGTCCGCACAACCCTAAATCTATGGCTTTACAATCCTCCACCGCCATGGCAGACAATACGTCTGCAACACCTCGTTGCCTTCTCAATATCCAAAAGAAAGAAAAAGAAAAATCTTCTTCCTTGAGCTTTACTCCCCCTTAACAAGGACCTACATGTCACTCATTCATTCTTTACCAATTCAACTCATATCATATTTATCGAAAGATTTTCTATTTATTTAAGAAAGAGTATTTGAAATATGATTTAGATATATAAATTCTGGATTTAATGATTTTAATGGAGAGGGAGATGAAAGACTCAGTTGCATGGACTATAACTGTATAATTTTGGAAGAATGAGTAGTCAAAAACCTATGCATATATGATATTTATTATGGCTACACAATGATAAGTTTTCCTTGTCGCCATGCACTTGTCTTTACCCTCGGATGTATGCCGAGATGAATGGATATAACCAAAACAAATTTAAAAAGCTCAATACAAAATCTTGAGAATGGTGGTCAGTAATCACTATGGTAGTCGTTAGGTCAATTTTATGTCTCCAGAAGTCCATGGATTTGACCCCACTGCGTTTGGTTTTATGAATATCAGTCGTACGCGAAAATAGCTAGCAGTTGTATCAGAAGAAAAGCTTGCACATCTTAGAAGACATTGAAGATTCAATTCATGGTTTTTCTTGTTTGGTTTATGAGAAAAAAAGTTATTGGAAAGAAAAGGAAACATTGTTGTAAATGGTGGTGTTATGTGCTTGCAGAAGCATTATTACTGAAAGAGACTTTGCCTACTAATAATTGAGCGCAATAGCCCAAGGTTGAGCGAAGTTTGTGAATTGTGTCCCATCAAACAGTCAATTCTTACTATCAGGATCTAGAAATAATTTTAGGATAAACACGAGATAATACTTATAATGCATATTGTTGTGTCCAACAAGATGGTTAATTTCTTTACATCATGAGCAGAAAGATACTAACAAGGAAAATAAATGGAAGAGCTTAATTATGGCATCAATCAGGGGCTATGGACGACCAGATAATCATTTTTAATTCTCCAGATTGGTCCAAACGACACAAACCAATATACTAGATTATAACAACAAAGTGTTTGATTTTGTTGTGGATATGATTGACAAGACCCTAAACAGGGGGGGATTTGAATAATTTTTACATTGATATGACAGAAATGAAATCCGAAATAAAAGTCTAGCTTGTGTTCATATCTATTTCGTTCTTGTTTTCTAACATCGATTGCATGTCGGCACTGAAGATCTGGGTTCGATGGAGAATCCAAGACCAACATCTCACGTTGTCGAATCTGCAAACAAGTGATCGAACTTTGTGTTGATGTTTTAGAAACTGTAACATGTCAGGGTTCATGGACTAATATGTAAAAATGGATTTGAAGAAAGTAGTTGAGTTGTCAATTGCTGTCAAGTTTGATGGGAATGATTCAGAATTTTACTAATTTTAAGCATATACATTGTCAACTTGTAGAATATTGGTGTGTTAAAAGTCTTAATCAAGTTCATATCCAAAGCAAATTTCTTTTGACTCGAACTTGAAAAGTTCATCTCCATGAATTATGCTAGCGATAGTGGATTAGCCAGAGGGAAAAGCTTTTCAACTTGTTACCGGCTGTTTCGCCTAATTTTGGCATCCTACCGGGAACTTTGGCCAGCTCATTCATTGCCAATTCAGCTGCCGCCACTCGATTCTTCAACAAGAGATGAGAGGGCGGTTGGCAGAGTTTGCTAGTGTACCGTAACCCCTCAGCAATGTTATCGATGGAGGCTGTGGTGGTTGGCAATCCGCACGTTGCACTACAAATGTATCCATGTGTCCTTTGCCAATGAGCACCACGCGGCGTGGTGCGAGGATAGCCGGTCGGAAAATGAGTCGAGGGGAATTCAAGAAGGTGCTGGAGAAACTCGCAGCTGAAAACTATAACTACAGTAATTCAATCGACTTGAGGACTCATTGGGCTAGACATGGTACCAACAAACTTGTAACTATCAGGTAGATTTAAATCGACGGTGACGATAGTGCGACATTACCAGTGCCACTCCATCGCTTACGGCCCCTGCTTCACACATGTACATTCGAACATCATCGGGGTTTTTTCTGGACCATTTAGTGTTTTCATTTATGTTTTTGCTTCAAGAATGTCTTAATTTCCTACATACATACATATATACACATAAATACAAGTTTTAATTGTTCCAACTAATTCTAGAAGCTAATAAGATCTGGGATTTCAAAGGGATTATTTACAGCTTCTTGTTGATCATCTGCAGTGTGGTTTATATCATCATCAAAAACCTCCCATTTGTCTATTATTATTGTCTTCAGTGTTTCCTTTTTATCTCTATGTTCAACAATGGCATTGCGTTCTTCTCTTACAACCAATGCCGTCTGGTTCTTTTTCCGAAAACCGCCGTCCTCGTATGTCTTGTCTGAAGCTCCATTGATTATTCTCTTGAGTTCTTCGACGTCTTCCTCTGGAATCTATGTATCCGTGACAAATTTGTTGGCTTTTAAAACACCGTATTCCTTGCAAAATTCGAGATATCAATAAAGTTCTTCACCTTGTGTCGTTGCCTTCCGAAGAATCTCGAGCGCCATTGATGCTTGAAGTTTACCTACTGAATGTACTTCCAATAAGACCTCTGCAATCTTATTGCATATTCTGCTATAAAAGTCGAAGATCTCGATGACGACACAATCCATGGCTTCGAAAATTAAGCAGGCCTTCCTTTTACCGGCTGCTGGAGGCCTAATTTTAAGTAACATGTCGAGCAAAAGCTGCAATTTTCGAAGCTTCGAAAGCTGCTGAACCATCAGTGGACTATCCTTCGCAGTTTCCTCTTCTTCCTCGAGCCAAATGCCACATCTTTCATCAAGAAACGCAAGGTAGCGACGAATAAAAATATCGAAACCCCATGTTTTGCTTATATTCGAACGTTCGTCACCGAAACTTGACAAATCGAACGGCAAACAGTCCATCTTTTCGATGGCCGGGATCTTACGATGAATGAGATCTTGCATGAGCATCAAACCTTTGATGGCAACCATCCAACTCCGAGTCTTCTCCATCATTTTAGACAAAACCCGTATGAGAGGATATACGTTGTTCGGAGAAGCTCGAATCCGCCACAAAACTATCTGTGCGTGGCGTTCGCCGACGTCGTATTCATCATGACTCGTGGCCTTGATAATGGCAGCCTTGAAATCAAGATCCCTGTGGGAACTTCTCGTTGAAAAATAGGCGACGATTAGGCTTTTCTTGTCTTTGATAGCAGCGGCGGCCCTCTTCCATATACTCATTTTTCCGAATCGTCGGTAAATCCGAAGCGCCGGTAAAAATGAGAAAGATAAAACAGTAGATTTAAGGTGACGGATCCTCTTTATATCAGCTATAGGATAGTTGTAACTACGCTTAGTTATTTGTTTGTTTGTTTATTTGTTCAACCAAATTGAAAAAACAACTAAATTTGTGATTTATTTCTTAAAAAAAATATGTTTCTATGTTGCAAATGCCGTTACGGTGCTACAATGACCCTGAAAAACGTTACGATGTAACAATGGCTTGTCACGAGGAAATCGAGAATGTATGACTGTAAGAGTTATCCCATTAGCCCATTAGTCCTTAATGTGCCATTTTGCAGACATTCATGAGAGGAATCTACTGCTTTTGTAACCTCCTCTCAATATAATATTTTGTTCCCGTGCTTTTGTGTCAATCCTTAGCACTTGAAAGAGAGATCAGTGAAGATGGAGAAAGAGATTTACAGAGACTGCCAGAGAAACCATGCATGCTCACTCGGCGGCTACGCGATCGACGGTTGCACCGAGTTCATCCAAGGTAACACCATCAGCAGTACCCAAATTGAAGCCTGCGGCTGCCATCGAAACTACCATCGGAAAGTCGTAGTAGACTTGAAACGATCTCCTGATCACAAATCCTTTATGAGTCTGAGAGAGGTGAAGAGGATGGCCCGGCAGCGCGGCGTTGTTGTCCCGCCGACGCCGTCTACTTCGGACGAAGTGAAGGTCAAGCAGAGGAAATCGAAATTCAGTGCGGGACAGAGAGAGCGATGAGAGAATTCGCGGAGAGCCTCGGGTGGTGTATGCGGGACAAAGGTCGACATGACGAGATCAACAGGTTCTGCGAGCGGGTCAGTGTCAGCAGGCTAACGTTCAAGACGTGGTTGAACAACAACAAGAAGTGTTACCTCAAAGGGACTGCAACTGCTGCATGTGAAGCTGAGAATTCTCCTCCCTGAGGCTGCTTTTTTTTTTTTAGAGTTTTTGATGTTTGATTTCCATGTTGTTACCTTTTTCTCTTCGAATTTACTGCTTCATCAATAAAATGTTGCATCAACAGTAAACATGTCCCATTACAATGGTCCTCAAGAAAGCCAATTAGGCTCTATGGGTCCAATCTCATGTATCAGGTTGCCATGATTAAGAGTTAAGAGCCCAAAGTTCATTAAATTATGGGTATACAACTCTCTTAGATCTAGAACCAAAAAGGGCTAAAACTATCAAAACTTGGCCCAAAAGATATCTCATTAAATTAAGGGTATACCTCGAAGACGAATTGTTATAAGACGGTCTTTAAATTTTATCAAATTGTTATAAAATGAATTATTAATTTTATTAATTTTTTTACACTCATTATAAAGTCACAATTATCATTTTATAACAATTCAACAAATTTAACGACTATTTCATAACTTTTAAAAGTTCAATAGCTAAAACGATCACCTGAGCATAGTTATGTGGCCTTTGATGTACTTTATCCTTTTCCAAATGGATTGGACATTGGGATGAACATTTGACCATAGTATTATTTGTTTTCCATAAGATTTTGAGGATTTGAGTTTGAGAATAATAATATAAGTAATCTTTATGTATTTAGTAATAATTTCTATGATACTCCTTTATTTTATATTTTTTAATTAGATCCATATTTTATCTTACATATATTTGTGTTTGATTGGGTCTGGTCGAATATAAATTTTTATCTCAAAAATTAAATCAAATTTCGAATTGAGTGAAACTTTTCTAATCCGAATTTAGCGAATGAGTCAAAAATCCTATCCAACTTAAATTATGACCATTCCTAATTGGACATGGATCATTTACAAAGCTTAACATGGAATCAAATCATCAAATAACATTCAATCATCCATATATGAGCATCGGCCACTGCTGAATCAAAGTGGAGAATCATGATAACGCCAGTTATGCAAAACCAAGTGGCTATATTATATGAGCAACTTTATTTGAAAAGAAGAACAAATAATATATTCAGCAGCAGAATGGTCCAAATGAAATTATATACATAAAATAATATAGTGTTGGATGATGATTGCAGTGGTTGAGTAGCCTCATACCATTGCTCAATATTTAACTATTTTCTGGGGATTATCTGTTGGTAGGCTCGAGGAAATCGAAGCTCCTCAAGATTTGGATAAGTGGTGGGAGTTTCATACTGATTGCAGCAGCAGGTTGCAGTGAATCTCTCCCATGGCAGAGGATATTGGATAGGATAACATGATGCTCTGCAACCTCTTATTATTATACTCATTTCCATGCATCATGCATGTGATTCCATCATTCATTCATCATGCACGTCGTTTTCCTTTTGTAATTATATCTCGATCTAAATCAGAATAAACATCGACGTATGATCTATTCGTGTAATTATATCCACCATTTGCGATAGACGACGATGTTTGGTAATGACGTCTGACCACCTTTCATTTTTATTTTATATTTTAAATTATTTTTATATAAAATAATAATAATAAATACCACATCATAAAAAATTAATAATAAAATTATTCAGAGTGATCGAAACAGGAGTAATTCAAAAGTTCAGTCAGTAAATTAGAAAAATTGAAAGCACAATGAGTACAACAGGAGAGAGAACAGAATTCAGTGTGGAATGATGCATTTTACCCTTATAAAAAATAAATATTCGTATTCGACATTTATATTTGGTAGTGATGCTTTAACTTAGTAACTTGTTTCGGAACCCTCTACTATAAATAGCCTGCCAGCGTTCCATTCGATTCCATGGTCGCATCTTTCTTTCCCTGTTTTTCATTCTCTCCATTCTTTCAACCAAGAGAAAGCTATGGATCGAACGCTTGTGTTCTCGTCGATTCTCGGGTTGTTCATCGTCTCGTGTGTGGCGGAGCTTCAACGCTTCGAACACGCCGCGAAACCGGACGGATCGCTGAGCTTCTTGGTGCTCGGAGATTGGGGAAGAAGAGGACTCTATAACCAATCTCTAGTTGCTCTTCAGGTACTGTCTATTCTCTCTTAAAACTATTTTATGAAAAACATAATTAATGTTTATTAAACTATTCATGATCAACACAAAATCATATGTATGAGTTGCAGATGGGAATAACCGGAGAGAAATTAGATATCGACTTCGTAATCTCAACCGGAGATAACTTTTACGAGAACGGACTGACCGGAGTCGACGATCCGGCATTCCATGAATCCTTCACTGATATTTATACAGCTCCCAGCTTGCAAAAACAATGGTACACCGGTACTAATCTTCGATCACCTTCTCTCTCGTTACGTATTTTCAATTTAATCTCACAACTTTTAAAATATCGTTATTTATTTTAATCGAAATAGTATAATCACATTAAGATTAATTAAATTATTTTGGTTGCAGTGTTGGGTAATCATGATTATAGGGGCAACGTTGAGGCTCAATTGAGCCCCATGCTTAGAAAGATGGATGGAAGATGGCTTTGTTTACGATCTTTCATCCTTAATGCTGGACCTGGTAATTAAGCTTTTACATGTATATATAAATATATATATATATATATTATTTGTTTTAACACATTTTTAATATATTTTTCTCATTATTTATTGGCAGAAATGGCAGAATTTTTCTTTGTAGACACTACTCCATTCGTGTCCAACTACTTCACTGACCCAGAAGAACATGTTTATGACTGGAAAGGCATATTACCCAGGAAGGAATACCTCAACAATCTTTTGACGGTAAAATGTCGTATCCGAATTTGTATTGAATATAAGTATCGTAGTTTCGATAAAATGGTGACGTTTTTATATAGGAAGTGGAATCGGGTCTAAGAGACTCGACGGCAAAGTGGAAAATAGTAGCGGGACACCATGCAATCAAAAGTGCCGGACAGCATGGGAACACACTTGAGCTCGCCCTTCATCTTCTTCCTCTTCTTCAGGCATACGATGTTGATCTTTACATCAACGGACATGACCATTGCCTACAGCATATAAGCAGCATCGAGAGGTACATGCATGCTTTCATACATTCGTATACGTACGTATGTATGTATGTATATGTATTATTATACTAAAAGTGTGTGATTATGGTGCCAGTGGGATCCAATTCATGACAAGTGGAGGGGGCTCAAGGGCATGGAGGGGAGATGATGGTACTTGGAATAACCCACAAGAAATGAAACTGTACCATGATGGACAAGGTTTCATGTCCGTGGAGATGACTAAGACAGAACTCAACATTAAATTCTATGATGTTTTTGGTGATGTTTTGCACAAATGGAGCACTTCCAAACAACTTTATGTGCCTATCTAAGCAACCAAAGGAAGAAACATTGTTAATTTTGACAATATTGAACTATGTATTTATTTTTCGTTATTGATGTTAAGATTCGAATTTCAAATTGTTAATCGAATGTTATTTGCTTAATTAAACTAAACTTTTATTTTGTAGTAATCTATTGTGAAATTAAGACAATTTGGGTTGATTTGCAAGTTCAGCCAGGATGTTGCTTCATGCTCCAAGTGTTTTGGTTATTTGTCTTAGTGATAATCATCAAGACCCGATGAACCAAAAAATTAGGCCCTTATCAAGGATTTAAATTACAACTTTTATTTGTGTTTTTGACCGTGTTGTATTTATTGTTATTATAGACATAACGAATGATATTACAGTCACTACAAATATTGTGATTGTGAAATTTTAATAATATATGCTATTATGGACATAACATTTGTGAATATATACAGTTTCAGACGATATCGTTGTCACTGCATAACGATCATTGTTGTGGTTACAGTCCGTTATTTAAGTAATTGTTCCTAATAACAAGTGTTGAAAAAAAATTAAGGGTAGTTCCATAATTACAAATATTGAAAAAATGGAACTCTAATAACAAATATTAAAAGAAAAAGTAAATTTTAGGAGAATACTCATAATAAAAATTATTGGAAAAAAATTAGACATGTATAAAAAGTAATGAAAAGATTGGACTCTTGACTACAAATAAATATTAAAAAAGAAATTGAAATTATAAAATACGCTTATTAATAACAAATATTGAAAAAAAATAGACTCTTGATAATAAATATTGAAAAAATTGGGTCTTTAATAACAAATGTCAGAAAAAATATTAACAAAAAATTGGACACTTATACAAATATTAGAAAAAATTATAAACGTAGACCTCTAATAATAAATATTAGAAAAAATTGAACCCACAATAATAAATATTAGAGAAAATTAACTTTTATAATAAGTATTAAAAATAATTCAACTTATAACTTATATAAAATTATTTTTTATAAGTATAATATACTATAAAAATCCTGGGCTCTGATAATCATTAGCATGTAGTTAACTTAAATTGTAGGGTTTTATGTAATAATGAAGTTTGATAATTAATATAATAGCAGACTCGTATGGCAAAAGAATTTGTTCACGGCACGTTAGTTGGCCTTAAGGCCCCGTTACTATTATAGGTTAAAGTATGTTTCAAGTCCATGTATACTTTTTAAATTTAGAATTTAGTCCTCGTGCTTTGATTTTCAAGAGACTAGTCAACATTAAATTTAGAATTTATTTAATCAATGGTCGAGTCCCACGGTGGGCAATTCATAATTGCCGGAGGTCTTCCATGGAAGTTGCTCTCAACCTAACGTTGGGAACAGCCTATTATCCTACCTCCCCTTACCCCGAAATATGGTCAACTAATTTATCAGAAGCATGATTCATGAGGGAATATTGGGGAGAAAATTATTTATTAATTAGTGAATCTCATTTATTAAAGAAGAGA